GTGTGCAATAGCATTGTCTAAGAAAAGGTACATATTTTACTTTAAAAAACACTTTATTGCTAAAAAAAAGCTAACAATAATCTGAGTCTCCAGAGAATCTTAATCTTTTTCTGATAGAGGGACATGCCTTGATATTGATGGCTGCTGTCCAGTTAGGGTGGTGGTTGCTGGAGGTGGAGGTGGCTTTATTAAAACAAGACCACGATGAAGTTTGCTGTATTGATTGACTCTTCTTTTTGAGAAAATTTTCTCTGTAACATGTGATGTCGTTTAACAGTATTTCACCCACAGGAGAACTTTCAAAATTCAAGTCAACTCTTTCAAACCCTGCTGGTGCTTTAGCACCTAAGTTTATAGGATATTCTAAGTCCTTTGCTGTCATTTCAATAACGTTCACAGCATCTTCACCAGGAGTAGATTCCATCTCAAGAAACTACTTCCTTTGCTCATCCATAAGAAGCAACTTCTCATCCATTCAAGTTTTGTCAAGAGACTGCAGCAATTCAGTCACATCTTCAGGCTCCACTTCTAATTCTAATTAACTTGCTGTTTCTACCACATCTGCAGTTACTTCTTCCACTAAAGTCTTGAACCCCTCAAACTCATCCATGAAGGCTGGAATCAATTTCTTCCAAACTCCTGATCATGTTGATATTTTGACCTCCTATCATGAGTCATGAATGCTCTTAATGGCATATAGAATGATCAATTCTTTCCAGAAGATTTTGAATTTACTTTGTCCAGATCCATCAGAGAAATCACTGTCTGTGGCAGCAATAGTCTTGCAAAATGTATGTCTTAAATAAGACTTGAAATCAAAAACTACTTGATCCATGGGCTATAGAATGGATGTTATGTTAGGAGATATGAAAACAACATGAATCTCCTTGTACATCTCCATCAGAGCTCTTGTGTCATCAGGTGCATTGTCAATGAGCAGTAATATTTTGGAAGATATATTTTTTCCCGAGCAGTAGGTCTCAAGAGTAGAGTAAAAATATTCAGTAAACCATGACATAAACAGAATGAGACAGGGAAATGTACACTCAGTGAAGCAGTCAGAACACACATATTTATGAATTAAGTGCACAGTTCATGGCTCCCCAAAACAATGACAATAGTAACATCAAAATTTATTACTCACAGATCATTATACAGATATAATAGTAATAGTAAATTTTAAAATGTGAGAATTACTAAAACGTGACACACAGATGCAAAGTGAGCACATGCTGTTGAAAAAATGGCCTGACAGACTTAACACAGAATTGCTACAAACTTTTTGTTTGTAAAACACACACACACACACACACACACAATTATATATGTGAATCACAATAACACAAAACAATAAAATGAAGTATGTTTATATACTACTTGTATTTCTTTCACATGGATTATTATATTTGGTCTGGTAAGGTTCTTACCTCTGCATTGTTTTTGCATCTTGCTTTCATCCAAAAGAATCTAAAGCACTGATACAATAGTCAATAAATGAAATGGTTTTCAAAATATGTCCTTCCTGTTAACTATAGAAAATGCAACTCCCTATTCAGGGAGTCTGTGACGACGAGGGACACCATAATGTAATATGCTCATTACTGGCCAGCTGAGGAAAATCTGTCTTTCCTCCCAATTCAGTCCCAAGCTCAACATTTTCCTCTTCCATATTCTATAGTGTCTGGAATCCACATTGAAATGATGATTATAAATGTCTTTTTAAATGCATCTACCTGCATGTAAGGAACTACCTGCCTTATAATTGTCCTTTTAAGCCTTACTTCAAAAGAGCTGACAATGCCATAAAGATCTCCTTTAATTTCCAAAACACCAACTGATATAGGGGAATGCTCTATATATCAAATAAGCAAATATAGATAAAGTGCATTGTTAAGTGTATGGATCACATGAAAAACCAGCTTTTACTCCAGGGACTTAGTTTCTCCAAGAAACTGCAGATTGTCTACCATGATTTGTTGTTTTCTATTTCTACAATAATTAAATGGTGACTGGGCATCTGGCTACCTAACTACAGACTATTTTTACTACCTTTGCAGTTAGATTTGACCTAAGGCTCACTTTTCACCAAAGAGGTCAGTGGAAGTGTTGATTGCTACATCTAATGGTACTGGTACCAAAACAGAGATATAGACCAATGGAACAGAACAGAAGCCTCGGAAGTAATGCCACACATCTACAACCATCTGATTTTTGACAAATCCACCAAAAACAAGCAACAGGGAAAGGATTCCCTGTTTAATAAATGGTGTTGGGAAAACTGACTAGCCATAGGCAAAAAGCTGAAACTGGACCCCTTTCTTATACCTTATACAAAAATTAACTCTATATGAATTAAAGATTTAAACATAAGACCTAACACCATAAAAACCCTAGAAGAAAACCTATGCAAAACCATTCAGGACACAGGCATAGGCAAGAACTTAATGACTAAAACACCAAAAGCAATCATAACAAAAGCCAAAATAGAAAAATGAGATCTAATTAAACTTAAGAGTCTCTGTGCAGCAAAAGAAACTATCATTAGAGTGAACCAGCAACCAACAGAATGGGAAAAAATTGTTGCAATCTACCCTTCTGACAAAGGGCTAATATCCAGAATCTACAGAGAACTTAAACAAATTTACAAGAAAAAAAACAACCCCATCGAAAGTGGGCAAAGGATATGAACAGATACTTTTCAAAAGAAGACATTTATGCAGCCAACAAACATATGAAAAAATGCTCATCATCACTAGTCATTAGAGAAATGCAAATCAAAACCACATTGAGATACCATCTCATGCCAGTTAGAATGGTGATCATTAAAAACAATCTGGAGACAACAGATGCTGCAGAAGATAAGGAGAAACAGAAAGGCTTGTACACTGTTGGTGGGAGTGTAAATTAGTTCAACCATTGTGGAAGACAGTCTGGCAATTTCTCAAGGATCTAGAACCAGAAATACCATTTGCCCAGCAATCTCATTACTGGGTATATACCCAAAGGATTATAAATCATTCTATTATAAAGACACATGCACATGTATGTTGATTGTGGCACTGTTTAGAATAGCGAAGAATTGGAACCAACCCAAATGCTGATCAGTGATAGACTGGATAAAGAAAATGTGGCATATATACACCATGGAATACTATGCAGCCATAAAAAGGATGAGTTCGTGTCCTTTGCAGGGACATGGATGAAGCTGGAAACCATCATTCTCAGCAAACTGACACAAGAACAGAAAACCAAACACCACATGTTCTCACTTATAAATGGGTGTTGAACAATGAGAACACATGGACCCAGGGAGGGGAACATCACACACTGGGGCCTTTGGGGGTTGGGGATGTGAGGGGAAGGATAGCAGGGGGTGGGGGCATTTGGGATGGATAACATTAGGAGAAATACCTAATGTAGATGACAGGGGGATGGATGAAGCAAACCACCATGGGATGTGTATACCTATGTAACAATCCTGCACAATCTGCACATGTACCCCAGAACCTAAATATAATAATAAAATAAAAATAAATAAATAATTTTAAAAAGACATCTTAATTCATTCCTGTAGTCCCAGTACTTTGGGAGGCTGAGGTGGGCAGATTGCTTGAGCCCAGAAGTTTGAGACTAGCCTGGGAAACAACCTGATGAAACTATCTCTACAAAAAATACAAAAATTAGCCAGGTTTGGTGCTATGCACCTGTACTTCCTGCTACTCAGGAGGGGTGGCAGGAGTGCTTAGGACCAGGAGGTAGAGTTGCAATGAGCCAAGGTTATGCCACCACACTCCAGCCTGGGTGACAGAGTGAGACCCTGTCTCTCTCTCTCTCTCTCTCTCTCTCTCTCTCTCTCTCTCTCTCTCTCTCTCTCTCTCTCACACACACACACAGACACACACACACACACAAGAAGAGGAAGGAAGGGAAGAAAGGAGGGAGGGCAAGAGGGAGGGCGGGAGAACGAGAGGGAGGGAGGGAGGGAGGGAGGGAGGGAGGGAGGAAGGAAGGAAGGAAGGAAGGAAGGAAGGAAGGAAGGAAGGAAGGAAGGAAGAAAGGAAGGAAGGAAGGAAGGAAACCTTAAGACAGACAGCATGTCTCCTCCATGCTCTTTCTCACCCTTCTTTCCCACTGGGACCCAGTGTTGACAATGTAAATAACAAGAGGCTCTAAACAAATGGTTTCTGCCACAACTACTGCATTCAACTCTGCCATTAGCACAAAAGCAACCTCAGATGATACATATGGATGTGACTCTGTTCCAATTAAACTTGATTTATGGGCACTGAAATTTGAATTTTATAAAACTTTTGTGTGTTATGAAGTAGTATTCTTTCAATTTGTCTTCAATCATTTAAAAATGTAAAAATCATTATTAGTTCACAGGCCATTAAAAAAGCAAGTGTTGAGCTGGATTTGGCCAGCAGAACCTTCTTAGCCAATATCCTAGGGGATGTCAATCCTGCAAGATGGAATGAACTTGCATCCTTAAAGGTGAACAGAGGCCGGGCGCGGTGGCTCATGCCTGTAATCCCAGCACTTTGGGAGGCCAAGCTGGGTGGATCACAAGGTCAAGAGATCGAGACCATCCTGGTCAACATGGTGAAACCCTGACTCTACTAAAAATACAAAAAATTAGCTGGGCATGGTGGCACGTGCCTGTAATCTCAGCTACTCAGGAGGGTGAGGCAGGAGAATTGCCTGAACCCAGGAGGCGGAGGTTGCGGTGAGCCGAGATAGCGCCATTGCACTCCAGCCTGGGCAATAAGAGCGAAAATTCGTCTCAAAAAAAAAAAAAAAAGGTGAACAGAGCCACTCACCAACCTGAAACCCTCACTTTGGACTCTTGCCAGAAAAAAAAATCTTCTTCATTCTTTAAGTTACACTATAGTTAAGTCTCTCCTGTAATAGAGCTTAGCATTTTACTTTATCTAATATATAGTCCTTAACTCCTGACTATTCAGACCATAGCCCCCTTCCATAGTCCTCACCACTGTTTTTTTTACTTTTTTTATTTCAATTTTTATTTCATATTCAGGGGGTACATGTGCATATCTGTTACAAGGATATATTGTGGGATGTTGAGGTTTGGACTTCTGCAGTTTTTCAGCCATTTCCCCCTCCCTCTCTCCCTCCTTTTGGGGTCCCCAGTATCTCTTATTCCCATCTCTATGTTTGTGTGTACCCAAGATTTAGCTCCTACTTACAAGTGAGAAAATGAAATGTTTGATTTCTAGTTTCTGCATTAATTTCCTTAAGATAATGGCCTCCCTCTACATCTATGTTGCTGCATATAATACAATTTCACTCTTTTTCGTGACTGCATAATATTCCATGGTGTATATGGACTGCATTTTCTTTATTCAATCTACCATTGACAGACACCTTGGTTAATTCCATCTCTTTGTTACTGTGAATAGTGTCATGATGACATACAAGTGCATGTGTCATTTTTTTATAGAACAATTTACTTTACTTTGGGTGTATACCTAGTAATGGGATTGCTAGCTTGAATTGTAGTTATATTTTTAGTTCTTTAAGAAATCTTCAAACTGCTTTCCATGTGGCTTTACTAATTTACACTCCCACCAACAGTGCATAAGCATTCCCTTTTCTCTGCAACCTTGCCAACATCTGTTATTATTTGACTTTTTGATAATAGCCATTCTAACTGGTGTGAGATGGTATCTCGTTATGGTTTTCATTTGCACTTCTCTTATGATTAGTGATGATGAGAAATTTTCTTATGTTTGTTTACAACTTGGATATCTTCTTTTGAGAAGTGTCTGTTCATGTCCTTTGCCCACTTTTTAATGGGGTTGCTTTTTTCTTGTTAAGTCCCTTATAGATTCTGGATATTAAACCTTTCCCAGATGCATAGTTTGTGAACATTTTCTTCCATTTGGTAGATTACCTGTTTATTGTGTCAATAGTTTATTTTACTGTGCAGAAGCTCTTTAATTAAGTCCCACTTGTCAATTTTTGTTTTCATTGCAATTACTTTTGAGAACTTGGTAATAAAATCTTTCCCAATACCAGTGTCCAGAAGGGTATTTCCTGGGCCTTCTTCCAGGACTTTTTTATAGTTTGAGGTCTTACATTTAAGTCTTTAAACCATCTTAAGTTAATTTTTGTATATGGTGATAAGTAGAGGTCCAGTTTCAATCTTCCACATATGGCTAGCCAGTTTTCCCAGCACCATTTATTGAATAGGGTATCCTTTTTCCAGGGCTTATTTTTTGTCAACTTTTTCAAATATCAGTTGGTATCAATGTGAAGCTTTATTTCTGGGTTCTCTCTTCTGTTCCATTGGTCTATGTGTCTGTTTTTAATACTAGTACCATGCTGTTTTGTTTACTGTAGCCTTATAGTATAGTTTTAAGTCAAATAATGTAATGCCTCCAGGTTTGTTCTTTTTGCTTAGGATTGCTTTGGCAATTTGGGATCCTTTCTTGCTTTCATATGAATTTTAGAATAGCTTTTCCTAATTCTGTGAAAAATGACACTGATAGTTTGATAGGAATAGCATTGAATCTGTGGATTGCTTTGGGCAGTATGATCATTTTAATGATATCAATTCTTTCAATCTGTGAACATGGAATGTTTTTTCATTTGTTTGTGTCATCTCTGATTGCTTTTAGCAGTGTATTGTAGTTCCCCTTATAAATATGTTTCACCTCCTTAGTTAGTTGTATTCCTAAGTATTGCACTTTTTGTGGCTGTTATAAATGGAACTGCATTCTTGATTTGGTCTCAGCTTAAATGTTATTGACCAACCTCTTCTTAAATATCCAAGGCAAGGAAACTGGGTTCCCAACTGCCTCCTCACTGTCCCTTCCAAGACTTGAGAGAAAAGACTCTACACAGAGTTCCCTTCACCTCCTTGTTCCTAAGGCTGTAGATGAGAGGATTGATCATGGGTGTGACAATGGAGTAGAAGACAGATACCACCTTGTTGAAGTTGATGGAAGAAGTCACCTTGGTCCGGACATACATAAAAAAAAGAGTGCCATAGAAGAGGCTCACCACCGTCAGGTGAGCTGCACAGGTAGAGAAGGCCTTCTGGCGCTCGGCAGCTGAGCGGATGTGTAGCAGTGTCCAGAAAATGTTGCCATAGGACACAACAATGACCACAGAGGAGTCCAATAGCACAGCCAGAGACACCAGAAAATCCACAGTCTCATTCCAAGTGACATCTGAGCACGACAAGGCTAGCAAGGGTGCAGCATCACAGAAAAAGTGGTCAATGACATTTGGGCCACAAAATGTCAGCTGAGACATGAGGTAGCTTGGCAAGATGGGTGTGAGGAAGCCTACCAGCCAACAAGCAGCTGCCAGACGGATGCAGGTGCCCCAGGACACCAAGGCCCCATAGTGGAGAGGCATACAAATGGCCACATAACGGTCATAGGCCATGGCAGCCAGTAGGAAACACTCAGTTGCCCCAAGGAAGGTGAAGATAAAGAGCTGGGACAGGCAGCCAGCATAAGAGATATGCTTTCCACCATCCACCCAAATAAAACCAGCCAGCATCTTGGGCACTGTAACAGAGGTGTACCAGATTTCAAGGCAGGACAAATGTGTCAGGAAGAAATACATGGGTCTCCGTAGTTGGTGGTCCAAGGCCACCACTAAAATGATGGCCAAATTCTCCACCAAGGTGAACAGGTATATGGTGAGGAAGAATGTGAACAAGAGGAGGTGCACTTCATGGTTGCCAGCAAAGCCCATCATGACAAACTCAGTTACCTGGGTCCAGTTTTTGGTATGTGGCTGCATATGTGGCAGTAAGAGCTCAGCAAACTCATAGCCTCTTAGATGATGAAAGCTCAAAGAGAACCTGTGAGGTTGGAGGATGTGGTACTCAAATGCCTTTCACTTCAGAAAAGAAACCTGACATCAAGACACTGTTCTAACCTTCAAAGAATTTACAATCCATGAGGGACATGAGAAAACAAACAATATCAGTAAAAAACAAAATGCACTGGCTAGGAATAAGACAGGATACAATGGGCAGAAATAGAAGGGAAGCTCAACCAGTCTTGAGAAATCTTCCTGGGAGGAAAACTGTCTAAAGCTGAACCTGAAAAGGAAGTATAAGTTAGTGAGACAAAAGGTAGAGACAGAGAGAAGATATACCAAGTAAAATATTCCAAGCACCAGAGAGGAGATTGTACATTAGGGAAACTTCAAGTAGAGACAGTTTACCATAGAGTTCAAGTGCTTGATTTCCAAGCAAGCATACCTGGCTTCAAATAAAACAGAACCTAACAGAGCTGTTGTGAAAATGTAAATTGGGTAATTCCTGTAAAGCACTTAGCATCATGTTTGAGTCAGTAAATGTCCAAGGGGAAATCTACATGTTGACTTCTCCTGGAATAAAATAGAGAGAGAAAATGACTGTTTCTGAGCCTGAGGAGTAGGTGAGACACCATGAGGGGCTAGCAACCAAATTAAGGGAAAGGAAGAAGCTGAGCTTCAGTCTGAAGGTCACAGGGAGTCTTTAAGAATTATAAGCACATGGACACAGGGAGGGGAACATCACACATCGGGGCCTGTTGGGGGTGGAGGGACTAGGGGAGGAACAGCAGTGGGTGGGGGGATTGGGGAGGGATAACATTAGGAGAAAAACCTAATGTAGATGATGGGGAAATGGATGCAGCAAACCACCATGGCATGTATATACTTATGTAATAATCCTGCACGATCTGCATGTGTAACCCAGAACTTAAAATATAATTTTTAAAAATTATGGCAAAAACAAGAATTATAAGCAGATGAGCAATGCTATTCTTTTTGCCCCTTTGAAGGGGCAGGTTTGGAGGGGAACACGATAAGAAGTAAAGGCCAGGAATGATGGCTCACACGTGTAATCCCTCACACATGTAATCCCAGCATTCTGGGAGTCCGAGGCGGGTGGACCACCTGAGGTCAGGAGTCCAAGGTCAGCTGGCCAACGTGGTGAAACCCAGTCTCCACTAAAAATACAAAATTTAGCCAGGCATGGTGGTGGGCACCTTTAATCCCAGCTACTTGAGAAGCTGGGCAGGAGAATCACTTAAACCCAGGAGGCGGAGGTTACAATGAGCCGATATTGTGCCACTGCACTCAAGCCTGGGCAACACAGAGAGACTTCATGTCAAAAGCAAAAAAGATAGGAGGCAGGAAGGCTGGGTTGGAAGGTTGTTGCAAGTATAGCATGGAGTGATGGTGACTTGAACTGAGGAAATGCCAGTAGGAGAGTGAAGATGGCTGTAAAGAGATAGAATCAACTTAATTGGGTTTGAATCCATACTGGGTTTGAATTTGAGTTCCATCATCAACTTGAAATATGTGACCACAAGTAAATCACTAAATAATCCCATTTAAAAAACAAAGCAGATAATACAAAAGAGTTCCAAAGAGATGACCTCCTATCTCATTTTAGAATTAAATGAGAAAATATAATATCTCCATTGTTGTGCCAGTTTTATAATACAGCCCCAAATTCTTGAACAAAAGTGGGGTCTATGGCCGCTCCCATTGCATCTGGGTTCTGTGACTGCTTAACAACAGGATGAAAGGGAAGTCATGCTGCACCAGTTTCCAGGCCTGGGATTGGAAACCAGCAGTTTCCTCTTCCTGCTTCTTGAAACCCAGTCACAATAGCGTGAGGAAGCCTATGCAGCCTGTGGAAAGGCCTAGGTGGAGAGGAACTAAGTCCCTCAGCCCTCAGCCCTGGCCAAGCTTCCACTGACAGCCAGCGCCAGCGTGCCAGCAGGTGAATAAGCTGTCTGAGAAATAGATCATTCAGCCCCCAGTTGAGCTAGCCAAGCTGACACCAGCCCTCTCTGCTGAGCCCTCCTCAAACTAAAAATCTGTAAGCTAAATAACTGAGTGTTGTTACTTTAAACCGCTAAGTGTTAGGCTGCTTGGTTACGCAGTAACATAAAGCAATTGCATCCTAGTTGTGTAACTTGGGCAAATTATTTACTATTTCTGACCCTTTGGAGAAAAAGAAATTGTGTTTTGCTGCAGTCACAAATTCCTATACTGGAATTTGGATCCAAGTCTGCCAAGGTCTAAAGCCCTTGCCCTTTCCCCTATAAATAATTAAGCAAGTTCTTTCTGGCTTCGGCATTCCTGGCACTGAAAGCATGTAGAGATACCGAATCAGAAATAAACAAGTTCCACGACTTCAGATTTCTGCGTGCGTCCTCACCATGCCTAACATCCCCACAGTGGGTAGTCTGTAAACAGTGGCTTCCTTTCACATAATTGCATTGCAGCCCCAGACACTTCAGGCTTCTGTTGGCCGAGGAAATTTCAGGACGCAATTCCCACCCATTTATCTCATTTGCAACCTCGCTTACAATGTGGCGGCCTCCAGACAATGATCACCTTCTCGGTAGATACTGCACGCAGATGCTGCAGAAGTTTGACTTGACTTAATGTGTTGATAGACAGTTTCACTGTCAAATTCTCTGAAAAATTCATTATTTGAATTTTCTCTGGAGAGAATGAGATTTAGAGCCAAACAGCTCTGGGATGGAGCCCTGGGTCTGCAATTTACTAGCCTGGTTGTGTCATCCATAAATTCTTACTATTCTTTCTAAATCTTACCTGTCCTTTTAGCTGTGAATCAAGTATGATAGTGCTGTCTTCACTAGGAAATCTTTTTCCTTACCTCATTCCTCCCAACTTGTATGCAGGTCAAGCAAACAAATGCACAGGGTACCTGCTCTGACCTAGGAACCATGGTGGAGCGTACAGTTGCCCCTAGCATCTACCCTAGGGCCTGGTACAGAGCAGGTACCCCAGCATCCATCCTGAGGCTTGGTGCAGAGCAGGTGCCCCCAGCATCCACCCCAGGGCCTGGTACAGAGCAGGTACCCCAGCATCCATCCTGAGGCTTGGTGCAGAGCAGGTGCCCCCAGCATCCACCCTGGGGCCTGGTGCAGAGCAGATGCCCCCAGCATCCACCCTGAGGCCTGGTGCAGAGCAGGTGCCTCCAGCATCCACCCTGGGGCCTGGTGCAGAGCAGATGCCCCCAGCATCCACCCTGAGGCCTGGTGCAGAGCAGGTGCCTCCAGCATCCACCCTGGGGCCTGGTGCAGAGCAGGTGCCCCCAGCATCCACCCTGGGGCCTGGTACAGAGAAGGTACCCCAGCATCCATCCTGAGGCCTGGTGCAGAGCAGATGCTCCCAGCATCCACCCTGAGGCCTGGTGCAGAGCAGGTGCCCCCAGCATCTACCCTGGGGCCTGGTACAGAGCAGGTACCCCAGCATCCACCCTGAGGCCTGGTGCAGAGAAGATGTCCCCAGCATCCACCCTGAGGCCTGGTGTAGAGCAGGTTTCTCCAGCATCACCACAGGGCCTGGTACAGAGCAGATTTCCCCACCATCTGCCCCAGGACCTGGTACAAAGCAAGTGCCCCGAGCATCTATCCCAGGGCCTGGTACAGAGCAGGTGGCCCCACATCCACCATGGGGCCTGATACAGATATCTCATATCCATCCCAGGTTCTAGTATAGAGCAGGTGCTCCCAACATCCACCCTGGGGCCTGGTACAGAGCAGGTGCCCCCAGCATCCACCCTGGGGCCTGGTACAGAGCAGGTGCCCCCAGCATCCACCCTGGGGCCTGGTACAGAGCAGGTGCCCCCAGCATCTACCCTGGGGCCTGGTACAGAGAAGGTGCCCCAGCATCCACCCTGGGGCCTGGTACAGATGCCCCCCTCAACATCCACCATGGGGCCTGATACAGATATCTCATATCCATCCCGGGGTCTAGTATAGAGCAGGTGCCTCCAGCATCCACCCTGGGGACTGGTACAGAGCAGGTGCCCCCAGCATCCACCTTGGGGCCTGGTACAGATATCTCATATCCATCCAAGGGTCTAGTATAGAGCAGGTGCCCCCAGCATCCACCCTGGGGCCTGGTACCGATGCCCCCCTCAACATCTACCATTGGGCCTGGTACAGAGCACATATTAACTTTTTAATACTTTCAGCTCTCTGATCCCTGGCTTAGAGAGAGGGTGCCAGAACCTGTGGGCTTTGTTTCAGGCCCAGATTAGCTACATTGAAAGGATATTCTCTTGTTTCTCAAAAGCTGAAAGAAAGGTAAAGAAGTAGGATATAAGAGAGAAGGAGAGAGGGAGAGCCAAGGATTACCTTTTTATCCCCTTGCATCTAGGCAATGATGCACTTCACCTGTGGGCTGAGAAATTTAAGAAGCAGGAGTGTCTTCCCCATGATCTCTTTCCCCATCATAAAGCCAAGAGCCGGCAGGATCCTAGATCTCTGAGGAAAACGACTCTTCTTCCTGGAGCAGAGATTACCCAACATTTTCTGTAAGGGATCAGATTTAAATAGTTCAAGCCTATGAGCCACAGGCAGTCTCTGCCACATATTCTTCCTTGTGTTTTTTTGTTTGTTGGTTTGGTTTTGTTTTCGCAACTCTTTAAAATGTAAAGCCTTTACTTAGCTCATGGGTCATACACAAACAGGCTACAAGCTGGATTTGGACCACAGGCTGTCATTTACCAATCTCTGCCCTGGACTCACATAGGACTGTTATATGAGTGAAAAAGAACACCACCTTACTGTGGTAAGCAGTAGTTACCCTACTTTATGGACACATATACCACCTCTGCCACCACCAAGCAGCCAAACTGCCCCCAAATTCTCTGTTGTCCCTTGTTCTGCAGAGAGATGGGGGTGGGGAAGAACTGATACCCAGGGTTTGGTTGGACACACATAGGCTATTGCACCTGCACAGAAGCCCAGGGAGTTATTGCCCCTGCTACCCTAATACTAATTAACAAACTGCAAAGGAACCTTTTCTTGAATTCCAAATCCAAAACCCAAAATCTAAACTAAATGATTCTAGAAAAATGCTTGAATCTCCATCGGCTCTTCCTCTACTGCCTGGCACCCAATTGCATTCTTTGAGAGACTCAAGAAAGGAACCCAAGTCATTAAATAGATTGGATTGATATACGGAGAAAAACATTCAAAGAGTTTAAATGAATAAAATAAATTTTAAATGTCTCCTTACTTCTTTTGCTAGTGTATATTAATTCACATTCATTCATTAAAAAGATTAAGAGAGTGCTCGCTTCAGCAGCACATATACTAAAATTGGAATGAGACAAAGATTAGCATGGGCCCTGTGCAAGAATGACACGCAAATTTGTAAAGCATTCCATATATTTTTTTGAAACAGAGTCTCGCTCTGTTTCCCAGGCTGTAGTGCAGTAGCCCAATCTCAGCTTACTGCAACCTCTGCCTTCTGGGTTCAAGCAATTCTCCTGTCTCAGCCTCCCAAGTAAGTGGGATTACAGGCATCTGCCACCATATCCGGCTAATTTTTGTATTTTCAGTAGAGACAGGGTTTCACTATATTGGCCAGGCTGGTCTTGAACTCCTGACCTCAAATGATTCACTCATCTTGACCTCCCACAGTGCTGGGATTACAGGCATGAGCCACCACGCCCAGCCAGGTTCCATATTTTTAACAAGACTGTACATGTACCCCCTGGATATAAAATTTGAAAAAAAAAAAAAGATTCAAAGAGAGACTCCCACA